CACAGCGCCACTTCTGGCTTTTTTCTTTTTGCTTATGTGGTGCTGAGGAATCGAACCCAGGGCCTCTGGCATGCAAGGCATGCGCTCTACCACTGAGCCACCTTCCCATCCCCTGTTTTGTTGTTATTTATTACTGAGAGTATTTGTTTCCTATTGCTACTGTAACAAATTACTATCAAGTTAAGGCTTGAAACAGATACTTGTTGTGACAGAAGTTGGAAATCCAAAATGTATTTTGTCTCAGTAGCTAACATTAGAGGTGTAGGCAGCTGTGTTCATTTTAGATGTCTTAAGAAAAATGCATTCTCTTTTCTAGCTTGTGGAGTCTGCCCATCTTCTTGACTTGTTGCCCTTTTATGTCTGTCTCAGCAGCTTGGGCCAGTTCTCACACTGCCATCTCTCTGATTCCCTTTGCCTCTCTCTTGTTATTACACTAAGCCGACTTGGATAATCCATAATACTCTTCCTCTAATAAGGTCAACTGACTGGCAGCCTTAATTCCATTTGCAACATTAGTCTTTTGCCCTGTGGCCTAACAAATTCACAGATCCTGGGGATGCCAATCTTTTGGGGGCCATTCCTCTACCTACTTTATTTAGTATCTGAATAGTCATATTACTGATCTTAAAATGGGAATTATGTAGGAATAGTGACAATAATGTTCTAAAGCACATTGTTTTCATTTGGCAACTTTTGCTATTAATTCCAGCTTTGCTATGTCTAACAGATACTACATAAATTCTGTTTTGCAAAACAATTAATTTTGAAATACTTTTTTCTTATAGGTTGCATTTGTCGCAACTTTACAGCGTCTTCTGCTTTGCTAAGTAAGTTTTATTTCTTGTTGACATTCTTACATTGCTTCTTAGATTTGTTTTATAATAAACATTTTTATAAATAAATTTTCCTTCCTTTTTAGCCAGAACCCATGTTAACTATGGAATCAAAGGGGATGTGGCAGTTATTCGAATTAACTCACCCAATTCAAAGGTACCAAACTTAAGTTTGTGCAGTTTATTTCTTCTATGTTTATGACTCCAGTCCTAAATTAGAAAGAAATCCATCAATGTGGCAGTAATCCATGAATTTTATAATTTTGATAGACTAGTAAAAGTTTGACAGATTGCCCAGTGAAAGCATTTTTCTGAAGCAAAGTAAGAATTGTGTAAGAATTCCTTTGTATTGACTGTCAGATTAATATCTCAAATTAAGACTATCCTGTTACAATGTAGAATGAGGAGGTGATTTATTAGATAAAAGTTAAAGTATAAGCTTGATTTGTTAAGAATTGAGACTTATCTGGACATCTAAAATATGAGGTTAATAAATCCGCTTTCTTGATTACCTGCCTGACATGAGTCAGTATTCACAGTAAGTTGGCTGGGTTGCATGTAGACATTTGCAAGCTTCCTGAAAGATCTGAATTATCCCTTGGTGCAATTTACATATTGGAAATCAAGTTCTTCTCAAAGTGGAACTTCATTTGTTTTTGGCAACTTCAACATAGCAGCATCCCCTGTTTTCCCTTATCTCAAATTAGGTTAGGCTTCATACTTAAGAAAATTTGTAATGAGAGGCCTAAGATAACATAGCAGTACCTAGATGAAAACAGTTGACAACTAATCACAGCTTAATGACAAGAAAACTTATTCCCATCCCCAGAGTACATTTTAGCATCCATTAACCAGTGTTTCAAGTTAATATGCTTTTTCACACACACACACACAAAAAAAAAAAAAACCTCAAGTAAAAGTAATGCATACCAATGGCAGGAAGTTTTAATACCACAAGAAGCTATAATGAAGAAAATAATCATCATACCTAGCCCAAACACAAAGATAACCAGTTTCAATTATTCAAGTGAAATCAGACTGGGTATCTAATTTTAATTTCTTCCCCCCCCCTTTTTTTTTCAGTCACAGGGGGCTTGAAAGGACCTGGGTGCTATCCTTGAACTCTTTAGCTCAAGGCTAGCACTCTACCACTTTGAGCCACAGCTCCACTTCCAGTTTTCTGGTAGTTAATTGGAGATGAGAGTCTCATGGCATTTCCTTCATGATCTGGCTTTGAACCACAATTCTCAGATCTCAGCCTCCTGAGTAGTTAGGATTATAGGCTCGAGCCACAAGTGCCTAACTTCATTTTTCCCCCATGTCACTTAGTGATTATAGATTTACTTATGTATGATGCACACTCTTATGAATGTGAACTGAATTTCCCTTTTGAGTACATACTTTGGGGTTTGGTTGTTTTTGAGATATAGTCTTACTGCATAGTCCAACCTGGACTTGAATTTTCTGTCCTCTTGCCTTCACATCCCAAATACTTAGGGTTACAGGTGTGTGTTACCAAGCCTATTTTTTTTTTGGGGTCCGGTCGTGGGGCCTGAACTCTGGGCCTGGGCGCTGTCCCTCAGCTCTTCAGCTCAAGGATAGTGCTCTACCACTTGAGCCACAGCGCCACTTCCGGCTTTTTTTTTCTTTTGCTTATGTGGTGCTGAGGAATCGAACCCAGGGCCTCAGGCATGCAAGGCAAGCGCTCTACCACTGAGCCACCTTCCCAGCCCCCCAAGCCTATTTTTTTAAGGGAAGACACTAGTAGTTAGCCAAAGCTACCTGACCAGAAAGCCACTAGATTTGGGGGATTTTTTTTGTTCGTTTTTTTCTTGCTTTTTATTTCTTCTAACAGTATATGTCTGCTAGTAAACAATATTTCTATAATCAAAATCACATTTGATGTTGATAATGTTCATTTGAGTTCACTTTCAATCCTAGATTTACCTCTTTCCCCCCTGCAGGTAAATACATTGAACAAAGAAGTACAATCAGAATTCCAAGAAGTGATGAATGAGATCTGGAGTAATGACCAAATCAGAAGTGCTGTCCTCATGTCATCAAAGCCAGGCTGCTTTGTTGCAGGTGCTGACATTAAGTAAGTTACCTATTACCTTGACTGAGAATGTGTTTCTTAGGCCTAACCATTCGTCTTTTTAAAACAGGTAGAATGAAAACATAAGTAAAATTAGACAACAAGGATAAACTAAAAAACACAATGACAAAAATGTTAGTTTTCTGTTTTTAGGACATGATATTACTGTTGCTTCCTGGGATTCTTGATTCTAAATCATTATATGATGTCCTTTTGTAAGTGAGTGCCATTGGCTTTCAGATTCAGGTAATTCAAGATGTTTACTTACATCCTTCAATTATTTCAGTCTTTCTTTCTATATCCTGCCCTTACCTCTTTTTCTGTGTTCTGCACCTTACCACTTCTTCAGGTGAGACGATTTGCAGGATCAAAATCAAAAGGCAGAGATAGAAAAATAAAAAATTTTAAAGTTTTTTTAAAAGTTATTTTTGTGTATAATATAAAGCTGATGAAATAAGGATCATGGTAACTATACCCTTTCCTTAAGGAAATGAAAAGCAATTGTTAAAAAGAATTTTTAAAAAAACTATAAATTTAACCAGCAGTGAGATGCCTATTGTTTTTTAAACTCATAAAACCAGCAAACACTTTAAAGTTTGGAAGTACGTGGTAGCAACTAATTGGGAAATGAGAAAGTTAATGTACTTCTGGGAATGACAATTTGTGTAGTCACTCTGGAGAACAATTTGGCAGCACTTAGCTGTCCCGACCCGCAAAATTGAAAATAACACATATGATCCCACCATATATTCTAAGCACATATTCTAAAGAAGTCCTCACCATTTGCTCACAAGGACCAGTGGGCAAGCATGTTCAGTACCATGTAGTTTAAAATTAAGAAGAGGGCTGGGAAAGTGGCTCAGTGGTAGAGTGCTTGCCTCAAATGCATGAGGCACTGGGTTTGATTCCTTAGCATCACATAAGCAGAAAAAGCCGTAAGTGGCTCTGTGGCTCAAGTGGTACAGAGCTAGCCTTGAGCTGAAGAGCTGAAGGACAGCGCCCAGGCCCAGAGTTCAGCCCCCACAACCGACAAGAAAATAAATAAAAATAAATAAAGAAATAAAATTATGAAGAATTTGAAATAAGCTTAATGTCAGGAGGGTAATGGATAGGTAATAATACAAAACAGATTCACAACATGTTAGAACTAAAAACATGTTAACTTAAAAAAAAAACAAGTTATGGATTATTTCATATTATAAGCTGAGCACCAGTGGCTCAACCCTGTAATCCTAGCTACTCAGGAGGCCAAAATCTGAGGATCATAGTTGGAAGCTAGCCTAGGTGGAAAAGTCTATCAGACTCTTATCTCCAGTTAGTTACCAAAAATGCCAGAAATAGCATGTGGCTCAAGTGCTAGAGTGCTAGCTCTGAACAACAACAAAAAAAAAACTCAAGGACAATACCCAGGCCCTGAATTCAAGCCCTAGAAAAATAATTCATACAGTTTATATAAATGGCTATATTTATACTGTCCATAAAGTCATTGTATTACTTTTTTATTAGTTTGCATTAGTTATACAGGAGAGGAGGCTTCATTGTTACATTTTCACACATGTTAATAATATAGTCTAATTAATCTCACCCTTTTGTGTGTGTGTGTGTGTTCCTTCCTTCCTTCCTTTCTTTTCTTTCTTTCTTTCTTTCTTTCTTTCTTTCTTTCTTTCTTTCTTTCTTTCTTTCTTTCTTTTCTTTGTTGTTGGTCATAAGGCTTAAACTCTGGGCCTGGGTGCTGTCCTTGAGCTCTTCAGCTCAAGGCTAGCGTTCTACCACTTGTGCAACAGTGCCACTTCTGGTCTTCTGGTGGTTTATTGGAAATAAGAGTTTCAAGGCCTTTCCTGCCCAGGCTGGATTTAAACCACGATCCTCAGATCTCAACCTCCTGAGTAATTAGGATTACAGGTGTGAGCCACTAGTGCCTGGCTTTCCCTTTTTTTGTGTGTGTGCTTGCACTTGAGCTTGAAAAAGCAAGACTTGAGTGCCAGGCCTTTTTTTTGTTTGCTTGTTTGTTTGTTTGGCCAGTCCTGGAGCTTGAAGTCAGAGCCTGGGCATTGTCCCTGAGATGCTTTTGGTCAAGGCTAGCGTTCTACCACTCAAGCCACAGCACCTCTTCCGGCCTTTTCTGTGTATGTGGTACTGAGGAATCAAACCCAGTGCTTCATGCATGCTAGACAAGCACTCTACCACTAAGCCACATTCCCTGCTTCCAGCTTTTTATTGGTTCATTGGATATAAAGAGTCTCTGAGCCTTTCCAGCTGCGGCTTGCTTTGAACCACAATCCTCGGATCTCAGTCTCCTGAGTAGGTAGCTAGGATTATACAGTCTGAGTCAGCAGTAAATAGCTAGGCTTCTTTTTTGTTGTTGTTTTTAGGCTTCTTCTTCTTTCTTCCTTCCTTCTCCTCCTCTTCTTCTTTCCTCCTTCTTCCTTCCTCCCTCCTCCTTCTTCTCCTTTTTTTTGGTTAGTTGTAGGGCTTGAACTCTGGGCTTGGGTGCTGTCCCTGTGCTCTTCAGCTCAAGGCGAGCGCTCTACCGCTTGAGCCACAGCGCCACTTCCAGTTTTCTAGTGGTTTATTGGAGATAAGAGTCTCATGGACTTGCCTGCCCGGGCTGGCTTTGAACCGTGATCCTCAGATCTCAGCCTCCTGAGTAGCTAGGATTACACGCATGAGCCACCTTGCCCAGCTCTTCTTTTTCTTCCTCCCCCTCCCTTTTTCCTCCTCCCCCTCCCCCTCCTCTCCTATCCTTCCTCCTTCCCGTCCCCCTCCTCTTCCTCCTCCTTCCCCCTTTCCTGCCCCAATGGCTTCAAATTGCAGCCTCCAAGTAGTTAGGATTATAGCCATGAGCCACCAGCACTCAGCTGTTGGTATACTTTTAAACTTCATTCCACATTATGCATCCTTTTTATTTATGTATAGTAATTAGAATTTATAAATGTGCTTCTCAATACTTTGTTTAGAAGAAACAAAATTTACATCAAGTGTTTTTTCTTCTTGCTCATTTAGTTGAGCCTAGTGTGAAACTGCTCCCAACATAGGAAAATGTGTGCAGCTTCCAGAAGGTCAGATAGTAATTACCAGTGATATAGTCCAAGTACAAAATCCTCATCATGAATGTGCTCAGAAACAGAGTAGCAAATCAAACACTGAAATTAAAGGATATCGAGTACAATATTGTATCAGAATTTTTTCTTTTTCTTTTTCTTTTCGTTTTGGTCAGTTATGGGGCTTGAACTCTGGGCCAGGGTGCTGTCCCACAGCTCTTCAGCTCAAGGTGAGCACTCTACCACTTGGGTCACAGCACCACTTCAGGCTTTTTCTGTTTATGTGGTACTGAGGAATCAAACCCAGGGTTTTGTGCATGTTAGGCAAGCACTCTACCACTAAGCCACATTCCCAGCCCCAGAATTTTTCTAAATCATCAGGAGATATTTTTAATTAAAGGATTGATTGATTGATTTAATGTTGATTTAATGTTTGTGCCAGTCCTGGGACTTGAACTCAGGGCCTGGGTGCTGTCACTGGGTTTTTTCTGCTCAAGGCTAGCACTCTACTACTTCAGCCACAGCTCCACTCCCCCACCCCCACCCCCTATTTTTTTTAGTGCTTAGTTGGAGATTAGAGTCTCAAGGACTTTCCTCCCCAGGGTAGCTTTGAATCACCATCCTTAGGTCTCAGCCTCCTTAGTAGCTAGTATTATAGGCATGAACCACCAGGGCCTAGCTTATTTAAAAGTTTTAAACCCTTTTGATCAAATTGAGTATTTTTTCCCCTGTAACTGTGATTACTGTTAACTCTGACAGCTATCTAATAATGATTATATATAGCAAATATTATGTATAGAATTTTGTGGTCTAACTTGTTATAGAATAAAAATAAATTATATAGCATGTTTTGTTTTATATTTGAAGACTTATTCTCAAATATTGTTATATGATGGATAAGAGTATAGTAAAGTCATAAACGAAGTATACTATGTTTTCATCTGTCCTTTTCTGCTTTTTGGCTACTATAGCATGTTAGCCTCTTGTAAGACCCCTCAGGAAGCAACACGGATATCACAGGAGGGACAGAGAATGTTTGAGAGACTTGAAAAGTCCTCAAAACCTATCGTGGCTGCCATCAGTGGATCCTGCTTGGGAGGAGGACTTGAGGTACAGATGTCTTCCACAGTACTCAAGTTTTCCTTTTAACTGTCAGACTTTTATCCTTACTTTGTGTGGCACAGAGCAAATTAACCAATGTACAACTCTTTTAGTTATAAAATTAAACTTTGAAATGAATCTGTAAGATCATTTCAGTTCTAAATGATTGAGAAATGTGGTCCAGGTCATGTCTTACTTCTGGTTGGAGCTCAGAGTATATGTATTTCTTTTCTTTTCTTTTTTTTTTTTTTGTCGGTCGTGGGGCTTGAACTCTGGGCCTGGGCGCTGTCCCTCAGCTCTTCAGCTCAAGGCGAGCACTCTACCACTTGAGCTACAGCGCCACTTCCGTTTTTCTGGTGGTTTATTAGAGATAGGAGTCTCACGGTCTCTCCTGCCCGGGCTGGCTTTGAACCTCGATCCTCAGATCTCATCCTCCTGAGTAGCTAGGATTACAGGCGTGAGCTACCAGCACCCGGCTATAATATATGTATTTAAACTGTTTCTTCTGTAAGCCTTGTTACTCAGGAGGATCAGATCAGATCTGAAGATCACAGTTAGAAGCCAGCCCCAGTAGGAAAGTCTGTGAGACTTTTATCTTCAGTTAACCACCAGAACACCAGAAATGGCACTGTGGCTCAAAGTGGCAGAGTGCTAGTCTTAAGCAAAAAGAGCTCAGGGCCAGCGCCCAGACCCCAAGTTCAAGCCCCATGGCCAACAACAAAAAAAAAAAAAGGATTGTCTCTAGAGGTTACAAAACTTTTTAACCTGGGGTCCATAAGTATATGGGGGAGGTGTTTGTTTGTTTGTTTTCTGAAATAAGGTCTTGCTATGTTGCCCAGGCTAGGCTTTAATTTGCAATCCTCCCACTTCAGCCTTCCAAGTAGTTGGGAATACAGGCATGCACCACTGTGCCTATCTTAAAATTTGTGGTGGTTTTGTTTTATTTTCATTTTTGAGATGAGGGTATTAGTATATTTCTCCAAATGTTCTTGAATTGAAAGGTTCATGCCTTTCTCCTGTCTTGGCCTTCTACTAGGACTACAGCTAAGACTATAGGAGTGGTCCTACACCTGCCTTTCCTTCTTTATTAAAAGTTTCTATACAGCATTTTACGGATACTTGCACCCCAAAAATGTTAATAGATGAAAGGGAAATTTAAAAAGGGGTTGAAAATGTAAAATATAAAAAAAAATTAAGTGCCAGTCTAAAGAATTTCAGTGTATATTTTGGGTACTTTCCTGCTTTTTAAATAATCTTTTTATATTCTCACAGATCATCTCTAAGACATGATGAAGTCACTTTTTTTTCTTTTTTGTGCCAGTCCTGGGTCTTGAACTCAGGGCCTGGGTATGGTCCCTGAACTTTTTTGCTCAAGGCTAGCACTCTACAGCTTTGGACCACAGCTCTACTGGCTTTTTAGGGGTTAATTGAAGATTGGGCTTTCCTGCCCAAGCTGACTTCCAACCTCAATCTTCAGATCTCAGTCTCTTGAATAGCTAGAATTATAAGCATGAGCCACTGATGCCTGGCTTAAAGTTACATTTTCTAACATTCTAATTCTCTTTCATTTGTTTGAAGCTTGCCATTGCATGCCAGTACAGAGTAGCAACAAAGGACAGAAAAACAGTATTAGGTGTTCCTGAAGTCTTGTTGGGCATCTTACCAGGAGCAGGAGGAACTCAAAGGCTCCCCAAAATGGTGAGTTAAGTTTACCCCAACCCTGTGAACTTAGAGTCTTAAATACATAAATGTCTTTTTAGATGTGTTTCATCTTGTACAAATCACATAATAAAAACATCCATTGTAAAGTTGAGAAAACAGATTGTGAGCATGTACGATCAAGTACGCCTTATTTCTGATATTTAAATATTTTTCAGTTTCACAAAATTCTTGATCAGAGTCCCTTTTTAGTCTCTGAAGAAGTATGATAATACATATGTCCCACTTTTCTAGAGCTTTTAGTTTATTTTCTTTACTGTGCCATCTTAAAGCTCAAAACCACAGGTCACAGTTTATCTTAAATAAAGGCAGGCCTCCTCCTTCATTGTCTACTTTGGAACACCTCTTTGTTGTATTCTACAGAATCCAAGAAGCCCACCTTGCTTTTAAATTCATAAGGGTAAAAGGAGAATCAGACCTGGAAACTGCAGGGTGATCTTAACACCAAACATTAGGATCACATTTAGTGACTCTTATAGCCTCTGGCACTATAGATTCCTCAGC